GTGTGTGTGTGTGCGTGTGTGCGCGTGTGCGCGTGTGCTGTGGTGTGACGTGGTGTGGCGTCTTGGTGGTTTGGTGGTGGGCCAGGTGCGTACGTGCGTGATGGCGGTGGTGGTGGTGGTGGCGGTGGTGGTGGTGTGTGTGTGTGTGTGTGTGTGTGTGTGTGTGTGTGTGTGTGTGTGTGTGTGTGTGTGTGTGTGTGTGTGTTTGTGTGTGTGTTTTTGTGTGTGTGTGTGTGTGTGTGTGTGTGTGTGTGTGTGTGTGTGTGTGTGTGTGTGTGTGTGTGTGTGTGTGTGTGTGTGTGCGCGTGCGTGCGTGCGTGCGTGCGTGCGTGCGTGCGTGCGTGCGTGCGTGCGTGCGTGCGTGTGTGTCTGTGTGTGCGCGCGTGTGATTTGGTGTGACGCGGTGTAGCGTGGTGGTGGTGGGTGGGGTAGTGCGGTGGTGGTGGCGGTGCGCGGTGGTGATGCGCGTGCGTGCGTGCGTGCGTTGGTGGGTGGAAGTGGCGGTGGGTGTGCGTGCGGCGGGGCGGGGCGTGGTGCGGCGCGGTGGTGGCGGGCGGATAGGCGCGCGAGAAAGAGGCCCGCGCTGGGGCGAAAACGCCATCTTGAACGACGGAGGCAAAACACCGATCCGAAAATGAGGCCCACGCTGCAGCGGGAGCACGATTCGGAACGATTCGGGAGCAGAAATGAGGCCGGCGCTTCAGCGAGAGCAGCATTTTGAAAAAAACGCAGGCGAAAACCGGATTCCTGGGAATCCAGCGTGTAAAAAAACAGTGCGGGGGGGGGGTCGGTTACTTTCAGGCCGTCATCGGGGGAAGAGGGAGAGTAGTATTCATATTGAGTAATTGTGGAGGAGCAGGAGGATGAGGACGAGGAGGAGGAGGAGGAAGGAAGGAATCCTAGGGTCCCTGGGAACGAGGGTGGCAGGCCCAGGGGCGCCCCTAGGACACTCTGACAGATCTCGCCTGGGCCGGGCTGATAACAGCTCAGCGGCAAACCTGCAGCCCTGTCGTCGCGCACCTGCTTTTCGGGCCACGGTAGGCTGGACGCCTCGGTCCCTCCCTGCGGGCACCCTGGTGGCGCAGTTGGGCAGGTCGCAGCGCTTCCCCCGCTCCTCCCCTCCCGCCCTCCCGTGGTGTCTCGGTGCTGGTGTCCTTGGTGTCCTAACTGCCACTGTCTCACTGCTGGGTGCTCCCCTTCGCTTCGGGGGGGGGGCTGGCGGGCAGTGTCGCGCACCCCGTTCCAATCACGGCTTCCTTGTGAAACAAGAGCCCCTGGATGATGGGCACACGGGCTGCTGCAGTGCCGCGTTCCGCCGACCGACCGCCCGTCCTTGAGATCCATCGATGCAGGCAAGTTGTAGCATCGCGAAGCATCGTCACCGGGCCCCAGACCCATCCGTCTGCGGCATCTTTTCCGGCCATATCGATCTGTGATGGTCCAGGGCCCCGAGGCCGGGCGAAAACGCCCGGGGCCAGGATCTCAATGTCCTGTGGAACGCTGTCGCCTTTGGCCCTTCCCCCTCCGCAGGACCAGGTCGCTGACGCCGGGCCCGACCTCCCGGGCGCCCCACAGCCTGCGCGAGCACCTCAGCGACGCGGCCGGAATGAGGACCCGAGCTTTCTCCAGCCCCTCTCAGGGGCTGGAGGTTTTCGGGCGTTTTCGTCGGTTCTCGGCGGCTTTCCAGCTTCGGGATGCTCTCCAGCAGCTGCGCCTCGTCGAGGGCGTTCTCGGGCTGCCCGGATCGTCCCGAACGGCCGCCAGAGGCCCGAGTTGTGACCCGAAGCCAGGCGACGAGGATGATCGGGCGGGATGGGCTTGGGGAGGAAGGCATCGACCCTCAAGCTTCCGCGCCTCGCCAACAGCGAGCTCTTTCTCTGGGTGGAGGGCAAAGGGTGACATCTGAAGTGCCGCTTCGATGGCTTCTCGAGGCCTGAATCTTTCTGCAAAAGAGGCGAATCACGAGACGGATTGAGCGTCGAGGTGCAGAAACCCGCATGGCTTTCACCCTCAGTCCTCCGCCCTGAGAGAATGCTCCGCAACAGGGGCCCGACCGCCCGCGCCGCCCGGGAGCGTGCGGACCCGCCGCCTGCGAGAGGAGGGCCCGCCCCCGGGGGGCCTGCCGCCCCCTTCGGCGATGCACCGCCGACCCGCTCATCATCCAGTCCATGCCTGGGCCAGGGCCGTTTTTTTGATTTGTTTCGTGGTTCAAGTTGGGCATCAGAATCATGAAGCAAGGGAAGCTGGAGCGTGCTTAAGGCAGCGCAGAACCTGGCAGGCAGAAAGATGCCACTGGCGACGCACCGGCGATGAGCCCCAGAGGCCCCCAAGGGAGTCCCAGGACGTGCTCCTGAGACCACCTCAGGGTTAAGTCGGGCCTGTCCCTGTACAGGGGGAGTATTCGAAAATAGTAAAAGATAGTCAGGGGACGATTCTTTGAGCATTGTAGCATTGTTTGACCAGTTTGAGGTATTTTAAGGGTATTTTCTCCGCCCAAAATCCACCTGTAGGGGGACACGCCCGACCTAACCTTAGGGCAAGGTGGAAATCAGGATTCCGACGATCCCGAGGCCTCTGGAAAGGTACATCGTGCGACGAGGTCCAGGGCGCCCAGAAGCGCCCACGAGACCCGTCACTCTGGCGTCTCGGGCTTGTGAAGAACACTTCGTGATCAAGCGTTGAGAACCGCAGGAGACTTTCGGACGCTACCCTCGGTGCCTCCAGCGCAGTGGTGGATTCTGTTCCTATCGTGCTTGGGCATCCAGTCATCCGAACGCATCCAATTTGCTTCGGGTCCGCCTTCCCCCCCTTTGTCCTTGCGCGCGACGATACGACACGCCCGGAGCTGTCACAGCAGGAGGAGATACTGCAGGAGCGCGAGAGGCAGAGTGGTCTGCGGTGAGGCGGCAGAGGTGGGCGTGGCGCGGACGGCTAGCAGCTGCTGTCAGGATCCCTCGAGGGGGCCTCTGCGCTCTCTCGGGGGCACTCAGGATTCCCGGGCGCGCTCCGTTCTGTCTGCTGCCAGGATTCGCCCGGACCCTACATTGTTCATGCCCAGAGATCCAACGTATTGAAAAATTCCAGCCGGAGGTTCTCGCAGCTTTTGGCCTCGGGGCCCTCGCCGGGCCTCGGGACCGTCACAAAAACGACTCAGGACGAAAAACCGGTCCCGGGGATAGGGTCGGGGACCCTGTATCGAAAAAATCACGCCGTCGGATCTTTGGGTGTGTCGTCTGCTTCTCGCGTTGCCACTCCAGGCGCCGCCGCCGCTTCGCCGCCGCCGCCGCTTCGCCGCCGCCGCCGCCCCAGTGGGGCCACAACTCGGCCCTCGGGCGGCCGCTGGGGCGCAATCCCAGCAGGGCCACGGAGGCCTCCGAGCACCCGCGGACACCTTCGAGCCTCGACGCCTCGGCGCCGCCTCGGCTGCTCCGCCCGGCCACCCCCTCGGCGCCGCTGCTGCCTCGCCAGATCGTGCCGCACTGAACGCCCTGGACTACTCGGCGCCACGCGCTCGGTCAGGAGGGCGGTCCCGGCCGCGGCCGCCAAGAGCACGGCGAACATCCTAGGCGAGCCCTGCAGAGTCTCGAGACCCGATGCGCAGTTGCGGCAGGCTCGCGTCGTGTCGACGCGGCAGCGGCTCCGGCGCGGGCGTTCAACGTTGAAGCAGGCGGGTGACCCAGACTGAGCCGACCTTGCGCGATCTGCGCGATCGGAAGGCCGCGATCTCTTGAGGCTGAGCGACCCACGCGGTGTCAGAGACCAACGCAAGGGTCGTCACGAGACACGAGCCTGCCGTGTGCCCCGTCGAGTCCGCCGAAACGTCGCGGCTCATCCCGAGCCGCGCTCGCCTCCCCAGCCCAGGGGAAGGAACCGAGGGGTGGGCGGAGAGTTGTGCGCGCAGCCTTCGGAGTGGGTCGTCCAGTGCCGTTTCACCGATCCCCATCCCCCTTTTGGGCCATGGTAGCTCAGCCCCCACCGTCCCACCCCTCCAGTGGAGGACAGGCCACGCGAAGCCCGAAGGGAGCAACGTGTATCCCGATCCAGGGGGGTAAATCGGCCAGTGGGGCCACAGCCGCGCCAGTGGACTTGTAGTGTCCCAAACCCGAATAGCAGCGCAGTCCGAAGCGCGGGAAACGTCTGTGGGAGACGCTTGCCAGGACGCAGGGGAGGATGCCTGGGAAGCTTGCAAGCTGGGAAAAGAGAGCTTCGCAGGACCTCCCAAGGAAATTTGAATAACCCGTGGAAAGGCTTCCGGCACGCGTATTGGGAATGGGTAGGGAAACGCTTGCAGTAACGCGCTGCAACCTCAAGTAGCCTGCTGCGGGGATGCCTGCCCGGCGCCGGAAAGAGCTGCAGGGCCACCATGCGCTGCCAGCTTCTAATCTGAAGCCCTCCAATGAGCTCTCCGTTTTTCCCAAACCATTCTTGGTTGGGTATTCGTTTTGATAGAGCAGCGCGGTCGCGTCTCCTCCTCCTCCTCCTCCCGCCTCCCGCCTCTTGACTCTCGACGCTTTCTCTCTCTCTCTCTCTCTCTGTTTCTCTCTTGCTCTCTTTCTCTCGTTCTCTCTCTCTCTCTCTCACTTTGCCTGCGGTACCTGTCTAGGACCTGGCCGGCCCTGGGGGGCTGCGATCTGCGACACTGTCGCCACTTTCGAGGGCTGCTGGTGGGTGGGTCAAGCGGAGTGAGGCACCGCGCAGACCTGAGCAGGACCTCGCCGTCGCTGGGGGGCTGCGATCTGCGACGCTGTCGCCCGCCACTTTCGAGGGCTGCTGGTGGGTCCAGCGGAGTGAGGCACTGCACAGACCTGAGCGGGACCTCGCCGTCCCTGGGGGTCTGCGATCTGCGACATTGTCGCCACTTTTGAGGCACCGCGCAGACCTGAGCGGGACTTCGCCGCCCCTGGGGGGCTGTGATTTTCGACACTGTCGCCACTTTCGAGGGCTGCTGGTGGGTCCAGCGGAGGGAGGCACCGCGCAGACCTGAGCGGGACCTCGCCGTC